TTATCACCATTATCATGAGATGTCTTTATTGAATATTTAGCCAATCGTGGATTTCCACCCAACATTGCGCAATGCCATTACCTAATAGGCTTTTTTAATAGGCAATTTTAAATGCATATGTGTGTGTGTTTACGTGGAAACAAAAATCCTGTCTGTGTGTTTCTCTCAGGTATTGAGATTGCGAAGAATCGTGGAGCCAAATACAGACTGGGCCCAGAGCTGGAGATATGGTATGGCGGGAAAAGCATGAATTAGTTTAAAGAGTATTTCCCTATATTTGAACATTATAGTATGATTATGTCCTGGGTGGCTGGTGCTCAGGAGGTAGAGCAGGTCATCCATTATTTGGAAAGTTGGTGGTTTTGATCCCTGAATCCTTCAGTCTGCCTGTGTCCTTTGGCAAGACACTGAACCCTAAACCAAACCTGATGGCATCAGTGTGTGAATGTATGATTGATTGAGAAGCACTATAAAAGGTAGTGCTGTATGGAGGGTGTGTGAATAAGTGAATGTGACTCCTAATGTAAAAGTAGTTAAAACTAGAAAAGGGCTCGATCAATCATCAATCAATCAATCAATCAAATTTTATTTGTATAGCCCATACTCACAAATCAGAATTTGTCTCATAGGGCTTTAACAAGCTGTGACATCCTCTGCCCTTAAACCTCGACAAGAGGAAGGAAAAACTATCAAAAAACTATCAAAAAGCGATAAGGCACAGGGACTCCAGGGGAGAGGTCAAGTCAGTAACATGCATTGATGTGACATTAAATTATTTGATGTGCTGAGGAAGGAGAAGAGGAAAGAGAAGCTCCATGTGTCCCTCGACATTCTAGACCTATAGCAGCATAACTAAGAGCAGGTCTAAGACAAACCTGAACCAGCTCTAACTATAAGTTTTATCATAAAGGAAGGTTTTAAACCTACTCTTTAACATAGAGAGGGTGTCTAGAGGGTGTCTGCCTCCCAAACTCAAACTGGGAGATGATTCCACAGGAGAGCAGCTTGATAGCTGAAAGCTCTCGCTCCTACTCTACTTTTAGAGACTTTAGGGACAACAAGTCTGAATTCTGGGGGTGCAGTGCTCTAGTGGGGTGATATGGTACTATGAGCTCTTTAAGGTAAGATGGTGCCATATTATTAATGGCCTTGTAGGTGAGGAGGAGAATTTTAAATTCTATTCTCGATTTAACTGGAAGCCAGTGTAGTGAAGCTGATACAGGAGAAGTGTGATCTCTTTTCACACGTGCTGCAGCATTTTGGACAAGCTGCAGGATCTTTAACGTCTGGATGTGACAAAGGCATGGACTAGTGTTTCTGCATCTTTTTGAAAAATTTTGTAAGTGAAAGAAGGCGGTCCTAGAAATTTGGACAAATCAGGATCAGAGATGACTCCCAAATTCCTGACTGTTTCATTGGTAGCGAGGCCAATGTCATCTAGTGCAGCTATATCATTAGATAATGTATCTCTAAGGTGTTTAGGGCCAAGTATTAGAACCTCTGCATTATCTGAGTTTAATAAGAGAACATTCTGGGTCATCCAGGTTTTTATGTCCTTGAGACATGCTTGAAGTTTAGTTAATTGATAACACTGTTCAGGTTTTATTGATTAGTATAATTTGGTGTCATCTGCATATCAGAGGACATTTTACTGATAATGTTTCCTAGTGGAAGAATATATAATGACAACAGTATTGGGCCGAGCACAGAACCCTCAGGAACATCGTGGTTAACTTTGGTGCGCACAGATGACTCATCATTAATTTGCACAAATTGGAATCAATCTGAAAAGTAGGATTTAAACCAGTTTAGGGCGGTTCCTTTAATGCCAAATAACTGTTCTAGTCTCTGTAATAGAATTTGATGATCAATGGTGTTGAATGCTGCACTAAGATCTAACAGGACTACACAAACCCTTGATCTGAAGCTAATAGAAGATCATCAGTGACTTTTGCCAAGGCTGTCTCTGTGCTGTGATGAGCTCTAAACCCCGACTGAAAGTCTTTATATATACATGACTTTCCTGGAGAAACTACTATTTAGATGTTCAATTTTGACACTGTATGATATTACAAGGTTGATTATGGCCAAAATCATCTTTGTCCAAAATACTGTTTACTGGATAACCAGCATGAAAACACTGTAAGTGACTTGTAGCTCAGAGTTTTTAGTCACTCACCTGCCATCTCTTTTCTACTTCACTGCATTTTTACAGTGGGTATGGCTGTGCAGACCACTTCTATGAGTCAGACACGTTGCTCCACAGCTTTCAGGTCCTTAGGAAACTTCTGGAGTCTCCCATCACCCAGGACATCATCTGTGACGTGGGAATGTGAGTATCACCTTCAAATAGTTAGACCAGCCACAGTATTAGCAGTAGTATGTTATGTAATGGAAACAGGAGGTCATTTGATATTATTGTTAAGTCTTTTTTCAGTTTCAATCCTTTAAGTGTTTGATTCTGCTCCCTCAGGCCTGTAATGCATCATAATGTTCGCTACAACTGCAGGGTTCTGTTCCTCAACAGGTATTTCAGCAGTCCACTGTTCACACACACACACACACACACACGTTTATATATTTATATTTCCATACACATACCACATTCAAGCTCATTTATTAAGAGATTCCTGTTGAGATACATATGATGTGTGTGTGTGTGTGTGTTAATATACGTATTTATCATGTAGAAAGATACTGCTGATCAGACCTAAAATACTGATGGCCAACTACGGGAACTACAGAGAGATGCGGTGGTTCTCACCTTGGAATCAGTTAAGGTTGGTAATCACGTTTTAAAGTCTTTTATAACCACTAATTTGTCTCTGTATACAAACTTTATGAAAGCTTTAGAATTTTGTACTTGGCTATTTATTTGTTGGGTATAAAATATGGAAAAGAGACAGTTCCAGTTATAACACACTTGAATTTTCCCTCTTTAGTAAATGAACTACCTTAATCTGACAGGTTTTCAGTAAATCATGAAAGGGGACAGAAATGTCATATTGCACTTCCAAGAAGTTTGAGGAAGTTGAGGAGACAGATTGTGTAAATGTGCGCAGCAGAAGTCAAAATATCCTGGCTTTTAATAAATGGTATGAGTCAACCTGCAAAAATCACTGAATCTTGTATTTGCATCATGCAGCTTGATTGTACCTGTTTCTTGATTTTCTTTTTGTTTGTATCCTTAAGGAAAGTGGAGGAATATTTCCTGCCCAGAATGATCCAGGAGGTAACAGGGCAGGTAAAACAAAAACTCTGTCATTATTGTGTATTTTTAAAAGGTGCTACACAAATAAATTATTATAATCATCTGTGTTTAGCTGATCATCTGAAAGAGGACACAGACCATTTACTCTCCACAGAAAGTGGCAGTGATTTCAGTGTCCGGTCTTTTCTGTCTTCATCAGGATACAGTCCCATTTGGTGAGTGTGTGCTCTCCACAAAGGACACCTGTATTGGCACTGAAATATGTGCAGAGCTCTGGAACCCCAGAAGGTAGAGCAACAGAGGGTTGTATGGGTAGTTTTCTGCATAATGTTGAAAATGCTTGAAACTCAGCAGACTGAATGCTTTCTCTTTTCCTTAGCCCCCATATTGGGATGGGTCTAGATGGTGTTGAGATCTTCACTAATTCCTCTGCTAGCCACCATGAGCTCCGCAAAGCTGATCAAAGAGTCACCCTGGTCAAGTCAGCCACCACCAAGGCATGCCTAAACCTGGAGCAGACATGGTTTCATCTGTTCATGTAGACAAATTACACGTTGGTGATTATGCTTGGTACAGATGCATGTTCTTTAAGAAAATACCACAAGGTGTATAACACAGTTGCAATGTTAATCCGAGCAATCATTTGCTTATGCTCTAAAAATGGCAACTTGCCGAGACAATTGTTTTTTTTTGTCACCAATTTGACCAGACACAGAGAATGCAAAGCTGAGATCACCAGAGGACAGTGTTGGGCAACAATTGAAGAACAGAGTACCACCATAACATGTGGTGTTTTTAGTGTATATGTATATATGCAGACGTTTGATTAAACACTCGGGATTGGCTTGCTTTTTTAATTCTTACCACACAACAGCCAGTTACCAGTTATGTTTCATTTCCAAAACATCAAACATAAATTCCCCAACATCATAACATTTCATGTTGCCACTCAGCTCAGCTCAGCTCAGCTCAGCTCAGCTCGTGTCTGGGCCACTCCTCTTTGTCACACCTCTGTGTGTCAGTGTCCATGTGTCAGTCAGCTTCTCCCTGTGGCAGCTCTTTCAGCTGCCTTTTAATTTGGGGGTGATAAGCTAACATCAGCTGCACTGATTACTTTCACAGTTGCAATATTTGTATCTGACAATTGTGTCACAAATATAAGGGTTTGCAAAGCTTCCTGTACCCATTTCAAAGTAAAAGCACTCAACATTTCTGTTGACTGAATCCATTAATTTGTTTATACAAGATTTTTATTGTTATTGCAGGACAGGAAGATGCAAGGCTTCATACTGTAGAATTCTGGCACTAACTGAGTACATACGTTACGTTTATTTAAGAAAATACAGTAGTCATACCAGAAAGCCACGTAGCAGCTGTGCAGCAGATACACTGCCTGTGTGAACAACAGACGTGTGTGAGACGCAGCAGATCAGCGGTGCAGCTGGTGTGGCCCAGGTGTGAGTCCGTCCTGCATTCAATGTATGTCGTATTGTTTCAGAGTGGAGGTATCTACCTGTATGCCAACCAGAAGGGCTGTGATGGAGACCGTGTCTACTATGATGGTTGTGCCATGGTGGCCATCAACGGAGACATTGTGGCGCAGGGAGCCCAATTCTCCCTTGACGATGTGGTATGTGTGGACCATTGACTGAGTCAGACCCAGTTCAAGATGCACCAATGTGACATTACTGTCAAAGCCGATAAAAAGACAAGCAATGTGTCCAGATTTCCTGTGTGTGCGGGTGAATTGGATATGTGTTACAGGGCAGCTGACTCTGTGTGTGAGGACAGGCAGACAGCATTCATGAGCCTCAGGGTAAACCTTTGTGTTTGTATGTGCGTGTGTGTGGTAGGAGGTGATTATAGCCACAGTTGACCTTGAGGATGTGCGGAGCTACAGAGGAGAAATATGCCAGCCACACTTGGTGAGACAGCACCAGCCATTTTAAAGTTGCCAATATTATGTCTTATTGCTGATTCCATTGTTCTTACTTATTGTTGCCTTTCCTCATATCTGAAGTAAGTGCATAACAATTACCGTTTGATAGTTTTGCTGTTTCACATTAGAGCGTGTCACATTAGTTCCTCTCTGTTTTCTCTTACTTTTCTGCTGTAGGAAAGTGAACCCAAACCTTACCACAGGGTCAAAGTTGACTTCTCCTTATCTACTGATAATGATCTCTACCTCCCTACCCACCAACCATTGACATGGCCCTTTCATACACCAGAAGAAGAGATCAGGTACATAATATGTTTGTTTCTTTGACAGAAGAAAATTATCATCTTTACACTTTTTAGAAGAGAATTTATCTTTATTGAAGTCCACTGTAAAGCAGTTGTCACCTGTGTTGTTCAGTCTAGGGCCGGCCTGCTGGCTGTGGGACTACCTAAGGAGAAGTGGACAGGTGAGGAAGAACCCACACTGAAAACAATGCTGCCGTGCTGTTTGGTAATGACATTCATGTTTGTGACGATATTTGTTCCAGGCTGGTTTCTTGTTGCCTTTGAGTGGAGGCGTCGATAGCTCCTCCACTGCCTGTATTGTCCACTCTATGTGTGTGCTGGTGTGCCAGGCTGTGGAGGATGGCAGTGAGTATAATTCAGTTTTGAAAAGTATCATTAGATTTATAATAAAATGATGATGATAATGTTCAGGGGGAGCAGATGAGTTACATCAGCTCAAAACAGGAGGTTCAAGTCTACTTTCCTCCTCCACTCCCTCCCCTGTCTCAGTTTGTCTTTCTGTTTGTCAGACATCCAGGTACTGGAAGATGTTCGCAGGGTGGTTGGGGAAGACTCCTACTGTCCCCAAAATGCAAAGGAGCTATGTGGTCGCATCCTCACCACATGTTACATGGCCAGCAAGAACTCCTCTGAGGACACCAGCAACAGGGCCAAAGACCTGGCCAATCAGATTGGAAGGTAGTATTCAACAGGAGATTATATGTTAGTATGTGCTGTGTAAAAAAGAAGCAGGGGATGTTTAGGCACATGAGGGGGATGCCATCTCCTTTAAACCAAAATGACTCAAGATTCACGGCCTGCATGTAAATTTTCATCCCTTTTTCATGTATCTCTTGCTTTGCAGCACACACATGAATATTAACATCGACATGGCAGTGAAGGGCATTCTGGGAATCTTCTCCGCAGTCACTGGAAGGTGGCCTCAGTTTCGTGCCAATGGAGGAAGCCACAGAGAAAACCTGGCTCTGCAGAACATACAGGTCAGATGACCTCTCACACTGTTACTTAGACCACCACACATGTTTTGACAGTTTAACCACAGTCTTCACACTGATGCATCAGTAGCACCACTGTGTTTGTTTTTATCAGCATTTTATCAGCACAGATGGACAGTTTTGTCTTTGCTTCCTCTCTCTCTGTCTGTCTGTCTGTCTGTCTGTCTGTCTGTCTGTCTGTGTGTGTGTGTCTGTGTCTGTGTGTGTGTGCTAAGGCTGTCAACATTGCTCCAAAATGATGTTTGAATATTCGCTCTAAAAAAACACATAGGTTCGAACCATTCGAATAAATGCGCATGCGCAATGCGCATTATGTCAATAACAGGAGGAAAAACTAATACAACGAGACATAAGTACTTGTATAGGTATTTTCATTTCATTTCAGTTTTAACATAAAACATACCAACACATTACAAAATAAGTAAGCCTCCCTCTCTCTCTCTCTATGCGCGATTGCGAATACTGATTTAAATAAACAATTTGTTAATAACGGTCAGTGGGCGACGTGAGCTGAAGGAAGTGGGAGTGTATGTTGCGAGTTTAGGGGGCACGTCAGCCAGAGCTGTAGTGGGTGTGTATGTGGGTGAATGAGTGAGTGAGACTGCTGCCTGCTGAACAGAGGGTCGCAGGAAGAAGGATCTGAAGTGCCCAATTTTCGGCCACAAAATCCAAAACCAGCCCAAATTTGTATCCACCCGCCTGGAAACCGTGGTTGTGTCTCACTTTCAGCAGTCAGTGACGCTGTGCAAGTACAACTCTTGTGGTCTGTCCCTGACCCGTCATGCAGTGCGCCCACTCGCAGAGCAGCCGCTGATGTGTTTTTTTCCACAGTTGAATATTAATTTTCACAATCGAATATCCGTTTTATTTTAATATTCGAATGTAGAATATTCGTTGACAGCCCTAGTGTGTGCATGCTCCTTCTCCTCACTTTTTCAATGGGCTGCTTGAGACTTAAGACTTGGTTTTAGGGTTTTAATTAGGCTTCGGTTAGGGTTAGGCATTTAGTTTGGATAGTTTAGAGTAAGGAGCTTGGGAATGTATTATGTCATCGAGTGTCCTCACTAAGGTAGAAGTGCAAACATGTTTGTGTTCGTGTGTTCATGTTCCCAGGCTCGCGTCAGGATGGTCCTGGCCTACCTCTTCGCCCAGCTGAGTCTATGGGCCAGAGGTATGCCAGGTGGATTGCTGGTGCTGGGCTCAGCCAACGTAGATGAGAGGTATAACTGGAGCTGGCTGTTGTTACAATCATAAAAGAAAAAAAGCCTGCATTGGATTTTTTATTGAATCAGAATCATGAGTCTGCTGCTACACTCCAATTCTACAAACCAAAATGCTGCAGACTACACTGGCCAGTGCAGCACATAATAGTATTGAATGTGCATATTGTCCAAGCTCTGGGTGATGGTAAATGTAAAATGTCAGGACTGATGATGTAAAACCTTTGGTATAGTCCTTTATAGAGGTTATTCACTTGTCCACTGGCAAAATTGGAGCCACAAATTACTGAAAGCTACATGTTCTGTTTGTTCAGAGCACATCTAGTGAGAAAAGTTAAAGCCTAAATAATTGATTAAATCACTGTTTGTTCCTCAGCCTGACAGGCTATTTCACCAAGTATGACTGCTCCAGTGCTGACATCAACCCAATAGGAGGCATCAGCAAGACAGACCTGAAGAGCTTCCTGCTTTACTGTGTTGAGCAGTTCCAGCTCACTGCTTTGAGAGGGTAAGGGCTCTGCTGGGTGACATGTCTGTTTGACACCAAACATGTGGGAGGACTTAATGTCTGAGGCAGAAACATGTCCCAGTATTGTCGCCTCTCCACCAAAAAACTGTCAATTTTCTTGATTTGGACAAGAGTTTACGCCACCATGTGTTACACGCAGCAGCCGTTGTTTCTGTGACACTTTGTGTATACTACTAACCACAAATGGTGCACCTTGTATAGTTTTCATTTTATCAGGGGTTTTGATTTTCTCTGCAGAATCCTTGCTGCTCCACCCACTGCTGAACTGGAGCCACTCACAGATGGACAGGTGTCACAGACAGATGAGGTGGGACAGACTACTGTCTACAGACTTATATTCTTCCCCTGAGTAGCATTTTGACATAAAAGTAACTCACGACACTTTTTTTTGCAAATTTCACTAGGTCCTGATTTGGTTTGAGGGCGGGAATATTGTTTCAACTGCAGAACTAATACTCAAGCAATGTTTGCAGTAATATTAGGGTTAAGGCCAGGGGGGTGATATGTGATCTCCCTGAATATCATAGAAACTATCCATTTCCTTAAACTTGGGACCCAGCATTAAATCATTATTTAATACTGTCACAGGACTGACTGAGTTGAAGTTGGTTCTGGATCTACTATATCAGGTTTTAGGTACAAGGCTAACGTAAGTAGTAAGCATTCACAATGAAATACTGACCTGATGTTAAGTTTTGTATAATACTGTATGGAGTACAGGGTCAAATATACCTCCATGCAGTAGAGTAACAATGCTGCTGCATCACTTCCCACTGTCCTCTTCGTGGGTCATCTTCTGGAGAGGATTTCAGCCTTTTACCATGACATGATGCTTTGTTCTTTGTTTTGAAAACACCTCACTCCCCCTTAAGAATGATCTCATCCAAAGGGGCTCTAGCTACAAGTCAGCAATCATTCACACTTATTCAATTAAATTGTATTTGTATAGCGCCAAATCATAACATATATGTATACGGTTGAATTCTTAAGAATTAAAGTGAAACCCAACAGTTCCCACAATGAGCTTTTTGTGACTGGAGGAAAAAAACTCCGTCATCAGCAGGAAGAAACCTCTAGTAGAACCAGACTCAATGTGGGGGAAATAGGGAGGAGAGGCGATGTATTTTTTTTATTTAAAAGGCTTTACTGGTCTATGTCAAGCAGCTCAGAAACTCTTTAAATGGGATTTTTAGTAAATTAGCAATTGCTGTATTTCTTTCCTCTACTCTTAACACCAACACTGCTCCCTCCTCAGGCAGACATGGGGATGACCTACTCCGAGTTATCTGTGATGGGGCGCCTGAGGAAGATCTCCAAGTGCGGCCCGTTCAGCATGTTCTGTAAACTCATTCACATGTGGAAGGACTCTCTCTCAACAATGGAGGTCAGCTCCATCACCATGTGCAACATTTTCCTGCTTGTCTCCTGATGTAGGACAGTGTAATCCCCATCAGAGGAATTTTGTGTATAAATTCTTAAATGAAGGGGTGTCTATGTTTTTAACAAACTCCCCCATACGATTTTCACTAAATCTGCAATAGTATTTTATCTTTTCACTGGTTAGTTCATTATTATAGAATATATTCAGTAGACTACTTTTCCTTATTATGTGATTGGCATGAAAGTACAGAATAATAATATATGTTTTATCAGTATTATTAATAAATATTGTGCATTTAGTAGTGGCTTGTTATAATGAATTATTTTTAGATTTTTATCTGAAAATAATCACATCATAAATATAATCTAAAATTGGTCAGTAACAGCACTGTTTTGTTGTCTTTCTTCAGGTAGCCCAGAAGGTGAAGCACTTCTTCAGGATGTACTCAATAAACCGCCACAAGATGACCACGGCGACACCATCTTACCACGCAGAGAGCTACAGTCCGGATGACAACCGCTTTGACCTCCGACCTTTCCTCTATAACACACGCTGGCCCTGGCAGTTCAAATGCATCGACAACCAGGTAGACAGTAGTGCAGACACTTTGCTTCACTTCATTCTCACGTTAGAAAGGTTGCCTGAACCGAACTAAGTAAAAAGAGAAAGACTATGATTATCAACATTAAGGGAAAATTGAATCTCTAAGAAGCTTTTTTCATTTTCTTTCTTACAGGTGTCTCAGATGGCAGAAAATACCCCAAAACAATAACAGCCTGAGGTTTGGACTGACTAGTGAAAATCCATCAGAACTGGGATGAATCTGAAAATCGATTTGTTGGGATTGTCTACATTGTCTACAGCTTTTCTTCAAGTCATGATAAAAAAATCTGTACAATTGTGACAGTTGTCTATATGTTGACTGAATATCATCACTCTCAAAAGTTGTTAGGAAACAATTGTGCAATTAAATAGACCGTACCTTTGATTGGTCGTAGCTGAAATATTTTTTTATCAAATCTATTTGAAACCTTAAGCTGATGATGCCCATTTAACTAAATCCACTGTAAGGGTTTTCAGAGTTTTCTAAATTGTAATCACAAAGTATATTCCTAATAAATATTTCACAAATATATCTTCATATCTATATGTTCAATACTTTTTATTAAAAACATGACACACTGTCAAAACCATGGTCGTATAGTTTAGGACAGATTGTAATAACAGCAATTGAACTGGTAAATGGTCTGTATTTATATAGCACTTTTCTATGCACTTCACAATGCAGTTTTACCATTCACCCACTCACACACACATCCTTACAGTGCATCTATGTGCAGCACTGTCTTATTATACATTATTACACATCAGTCACACTCTGCCAGCTCAGTCGTCAGGGGCAAATTTGGGTTCAGGTTCTTGTGTGTGCGTGTGTCTGAAGAGCAAACCTTGAGCACTTTGAGTGAAATTTTCCCTTTCATTCAGTGCATCTATTAGCAGCACTTTTTGTTCCTAGAGGGGCAATTCAGGTTTCAGCATCAACTTAATACCTTAAATAAAAGTACTACAGAAACTGCAATGCGTGAGTGAAAGTAATTACTCGCTCTTAAATATACTTAAAAGTACAAACAACAAAGTAAAAGTACTTTACTGAGTGTAGCCTATTCATTGATGCAATAATCTACTACTAACCCCTAAATCCATTTGAAGTGTGTGTTCACCAGTGGAGTGCTGCTGCTGCTGCATGAGGCTGGGGTCTGCTGTTACTACCTCTTATCACTGATCACCAATGGAAACAGTCAATGTCAAATCAATGTGAGCATGCAGCGCTGCACACACACACACGTAGTGGTTCAGCTACTTCTGGATACATGCAGTGTAGTAAAAGTAAAAAAACAATAGTCAATCCACTCAAGTAATGTGCAGCTTGTAACGTAGTAAACACGCGTCAGGCCGCTGTGCAGTCAGCGGAGCTGCGGTGCGGAGCTGTAGGTGGAGTTTGTGTGTCAGTGTAAAGTGAGACTGGCGGAGCGGAGCGGGGAGGGGAGGGGAGGGGAGAGGGCAGCACAGCAGCCACTTCCTAAACACACATCCCGACATGTTGCTGTTGTTGTCGGACACAACTTCACCGTCTCACCGTCAGTGAGCGAAAAGGCGAAGCGAACCCAGCTCCCTCCCCCCACCCCACCCCACCCCCCCGCCCCTGCAGCTCCACACAGCCACATCTGCTGCCTTCACTTTAAACCTGTGGCGCCCGCGGGAGGCCGCAGATTCTCATTTCCTGGATGGAAACGGACAGTCTGTTGACCGGGTCTGTGAACGGAGCCGCGGCGGACTATGGCTCGGGCCCGGAGCACCAAAGGTCCCCGAGCAGGAGACGGATGTCGTACTCGGCCGCCGGGGAGGTGTGCAGCGTCGAGGGGGCTGCAGGTGAGTGGAGGGAGATACAAAGCTGCTTCTGTCCGACAAACAGATACTGTACATGTTTAGCTTTAAATGGAACAATCACATGCAGGACGTTTGCGAGAAGTCAACAACAAGAAGAAGTGTTAGCGCGGCTGAGAAGTGTCTGTGTCATCACGAGCAGAAATCTGTCACATCATCAACTTTGATTTGTCCATTTGTCCGCTGCACATGCATTCTGTTGCTTTCAGATGTGACAGCGGAGGACACAATGCATTGTCATGATTGTAGACCGGCCATAAAGGGACGCGTGTAGTATTACCCCCCTCTCTGCTTAGGTTATACTTGTTCTGATCCTGCAGAAAGTTACGCTTCTACACAGTGGTCGTCCTGTGTTCATTGCTTTTATTTTGAAATATTTATTTAAACATTCGCATTACCTATCTGCTTTTCATCATCCCTCAATCACACAAGGACAAACGAATGAAGGAATTAGCAAACACTAAAATTAATTTTCTCCAGTCTGACAAAAAAAAACAGGAAAAACGTGTATTGTTGGATTTCGGTTTGAATAAAAAAAGACACAGTTTATTTATATTTTTGATTTCAAATGAAAAAACAATAACCCTCCATACATCTATCCAATCATTCATTCCATTCAATCCACCCATCCAGCGGTAGACCCAGTTGTAGGGATGTTTCAGCAGTTCAACCCCAGAAAAACAGGAAAAAAACTGCAAATCTTTGACTTCTACTTCTCTGTGATTCACTGATTATCAGTTGTGTTGTTTCTGTGAATTTCTGTCCATCAGTTGTATACGATGTAGAACAGGCTTTATTCAAATAATTGCATGAAGACAACCTTCATGTAGAAGCGGAGGTTACTGCAACAAGTTTTTAGTATTTAGTCAAAAACAGACAATGTATTGGTGGTAGATTCCTACTTATATTACCTTTGTCTGGTCTATAAGTGTAGAACACATTTTCCAGGTAAAACTTGTATGAATGAATGAAATCAGGATGGCAGACTGGACATTATTCTGAGATCAGGTTCATGTAAACCAGGATCCTGAGTCCAGATTTCTAAATGACGGTGCGGGGCAGGCAGACTTGCCAACATCTTCCAAAGCTCCAAATCCAGATTTCCAACAGTAGCGAGGGGGGATGTGCACACTGTTGTACTTGACTGACGTTGGCTTTATTTTTATTACCAGGTTCCTTTTTGACTTCAGGTTCAATCTGAAATGATGCCAGATAGGCACTCTGGCTCTTTCACTGTGACCCCAAATCCTCGTCCTTGTAAGACGACTCTCCTCTCATCATCACGTGTTAAGACTCCTCTTCTATGGCATGTGACTCTGCTGCTGCATGGAGCACACACTTTCAGCTTAAAACTGTCGCATCAGTCTAATACTGACTTATAACAATTTGACAAACTGATTATGTGAAAATGAATCAAAGAGCTTTTATGCCTATAAACATTATTTAGATATTGTAAGCAGGGAGCAACTCATTTGATAGGTGTGTGCTTTAACACTTTGTCACACTTGCAACACTGACTACCATGGCAACCCTAACGTGCAGCTTAAAACTTATAATTGTCCAACTGGGATGTAAGGTGGTGACATTTGTATTGTCTGTACATTGATTGCAGGGGACATAGTGTAAATGAAATTCTAGGCTCCTAACAATTTGCAAGGCATCTTAGTAATAGTGTTGTTGGTGTTACCAGCATAAGATTCATTTTACACTTTACCATATGTAAGGCAAGTAACAGATAAAAGCAACATTCAAACATTGTCTTTATTGACCTACATTCTGGAAAATATAATATTGATTTAGGGAGAAGTCATGTCATTCAAGTTGAGTTGCAGCAGCATTTTTCAGTTATATAGGTTTTTGGGTTTTTTTCTTTAGTTTTTCATGTAGGTCACACTTTTTTCATTGGTGTGTGTGTTATAGTGTTTCAGCAGTGTTGCCCTGTCAGTATCTCCCACAACCGTCATGACACATCCTGCTGTGAAGCCATCAGCACTTAATGTGTGTGAGAGAATGTGAGTGTGTTGCCACAACTGAGTCATCATGTCTGTATCTGTAACTGCCTGTTGGAAACTTCCAGTCACTGAACTCAGTCATCTGACAGCTGTGGAACAAGCTTGTACTGTATGATAAGACATTAGTCCGAGCCTCTTATAAACACATTCAGCCAGTGTTAAAAGCATCTGTGGCCACCTAGCTTTTTCCAAATTTTAAAATAGTTTTAAAATGGTCAAATCTGAATTGTGCTCACTGATTTTTTAACACAGCACTATTTTTGCATCAAATACACACTGTTAGAGCCCTAGGTCAAATAAGATCAAATGCCAGCCTGACATGTGAACATATAATATGAATGTTGAACTCAAACAAGTGTCTGAAGCACAGGTAGGAGGTTCAAAATGGCTTAAATTTAAAACAACATTTTGCAGACGCCTCAGAATCTACCTCTCTGTCTTTCTTCCTCTCAGACCAACACATATCGCCAACAGACACATGTAGCATATGGCTGAGAACAATATGTTTTGGTCTTTGCAAACAGAAATGATGTACATATTTATTTGCATATAAAGAAGGGAAGTAATATCTGATCACAGTGGCCCCTTGAGAAACATTCTAATGCCAGGTGTGAACTTGTCCTCTTGGTCACTCAGACAGATGTTAATATCACATGTGAATAAGGCTGTGATGAGTTTGTAGGTCTGCAAAATCCATGTGGTTCCCAGCAAATGATATCTAACATTTGTCCTGAATGGTAGTATCATTGAACCTCAAACTAACCTATTCTAACAAACTAACTAATCTTATTGAGTCGAAATTATGAAATCAGTATGTTGTGTTTTTTCTGTCTGGTGCTCCTGTATTGTTGAATATGATGAAGCTGCTAGTCTGTAATCCATTAATGGAGGTTTAGGGTTGTGAGCCACGCCCTCACTGCAGTACTAAGGTGGATCCCAGTTCATGTTTTTCCTAGTTTTGCCTCAAGAAATAAAAACAAACCTTAAGCTCAGCTCCCAGTCCAACCAGTTTCACAGACTTCCTCATCGTTCCCGTTCCTGTTGTCTTTGTCAGTCAGTTCAAAGGCTCGGAACTGTGCAGGATCCATGTATAGATATTCACAGTGATGACACGCTTGGTGATCCAGGACACCGAACCTCACACTGCTCAGAGCACCTGTGGTAGAGATCTTTGTTTGTCTGCGTCTGAGACAAAGGAACAGTTCAGATGGTCCTGTTACACTCTTTTTTCTCAATGTCCACAGATGATGATGACCTCTACATCCAACAAGCTGTTGTCTTCATTGAGGATGCCATAAAAGTAAGTGCAATTAATTCCCTACTTTTCTGTGTTGGTAAATAATAAGAAAAGGTAAATTAACCTGCAAAGGCAATAACAGAATATAGTATAGTATTTGTGTCGGAATGGACCATGAAGACGTCTTTTTTATGTCTGTAATTTTGTTCATTTTTGTTACAGTTGAAATTTATACCTCAGTTCTTTTTTTTTCGAGTAAAGAAATGCAAAAATTAGACACTTCACTTTAAGGATTTGCAAGATATCCTTTAGTGTTGGAGGACACCTCAGCCAGTGTTTTATGACTATGTGCTAGGGACAGCATAGTGGGAGGTTCTCTCATTTTTGCAGAGAACCTCCCACTATGTTTTGCATATGTAAAAGGTAAACTGTGGATAAACTCTGTAGCCAACAAGACTGCTTGATATACAATATGTTACCTCAGATACTAGACCATTACTGACAATAATTCCTCAATTCATTTACATTCCATCATGCTACAAACTATTTACTCTAACTAATGTATTGTGTCAATACTCTACTATTTCTCTGACGCCTGTCTACATTACATGTGGCATCTATTGCACTTCTCTCCGTCCTGGGAGAGGGATCCCTCACATGTGGCTCTCTCTGAGGTTTCTACGTAATATTTTCCCTGTTAAAAGGGTTTTTGGTAGTTTTTCCTTACTCTAGTTGGGGGTTAAGGGCAGAGGATGTCACAGCTTGTTAAAGCCCTATGAGACAACTTGTGATTTGTAAATATGGGCTAACAAATAAAATTTGATTGATTGATTGATTGATAGCCAATTCTCCAGATTTTACCCACAAGTCATGTCTGAAAACTTCTTTAGACTCAAAGACAAACTGATTAGATTTTGGTAGTTGAAGGTCAAAGATGTTCTATTGAAAGTGATATATCATGAACACCAATAGGGAATCTTATTTCATCTGGTACACACATTTACATTGATTCAAGGACCTAATTAGATACCAGTGGTCAAAGGTCACAGGCACCTAATATTATTGTAAATATGGACTGACATTTTTTTTGTCTCAAGGACACATACAACCACAGGACGGTAACTTTAGTTCTCCAAAATCAAACATAAATCACACTTGATTCAATCACACTAGCTTGAGTGTCTCTGTACTGGCTAACTCTCACTTATAGGATTGATTTCAAAGTGTTGTTTTGAACATATAAGTGTTCCATCGGCTGACAACTCTGCCCACAGGGTAGAGGATTGGGGACGTGGATGTTCCAAGGTGCAGTTGTTGTTCCTAGACTCAAGGACAGAGATGCAAATGATGCAACACTTTTGGCAGTGACATGTCTAATCCACATTAAATACACTTCCTTTGACCAGTTAAATTCATGGCATCACAGCAGACTGCTGTCTTCATTTTTAGTTAAGCTGTACAGTAATTATATTTATTTACTGGCTTACAGTACCGGTCCATCAACCACCGAGTAGATACCAGCTCACTCTGCCTCTATCAATGGTACTACTCCCGGATATGCCAGTGGTAAGTTTTCACCCTCTAGCGTGCCAGGTCATGTCAGAATTTAAATGTACCTGATTGTATGAATCATGTCTGCCATGGCACTATTTAACGATTGACTCAGCGGATACAATAACCAGAATTGCATAATTCTTTTCAGCACTATGTCATACAATACCAACTATGGGTCTACAGTTAGCAATAAGAAGTATATGTTATTCAGCTTTTCATCTATTGACTATGTCAGGGACTTTTGAGTGTTTTCCAGGAAATTCACGCTTTGTCGAGGCTTTAAGTGATATGATAAGTGCTGACAATACAGTTAGTAGAGTTAATTTTGCTAGACCTAAGTTTAAACTATCTGGTACAGCACATCATCTCTGAATAAAATGAACTGAAACCTCATCATATTGTGAACTTCATGGTGTTTCAACCATTATTCTAGTGCCTCTACATCCTTTTGTCCATCCACTTACCTGTCTTATTCTGTCTCAGGGGCTTGGGCCTGACCATTGCAGTGGTGTTGTTGCTGGCCTTTGTGGAGCGTCCCTCCTCTCTGTCTGTCTCCTCAGACCCCCGACATCGCTCCCCACCTTGGGAACCTCCTTGCGGCCTCACTGAGGGCTTCGAGATGGTCTGCCTCATCATTTTCTCTTTTGACCTCGCTGTCAAGGTAAACGGAGCCAGGGTGGCAAGCATTTGCTCAGATGACATTGATTGATATCTGGAGGAAAAAAAGAGTTTCCATATAAAATTTGCCATGTTATGTTTTTAATAACCGTGTTATGTTTTTGTCCCACTGTTGAACCATTTCTCCACAATATCTGGTCTGCCCTCAGAGCTACCTGATTGGCTGGGAGGAATTCAGGAAGAGCAAATGGCTAATTGGCTACACCGTTGTCCTTTCGGTCTCCGTCATCGACTGGCTGCTATCTGTCAGCATGGTGTGTGATGAGGTGAGGCTGTCTTCTCTCATTCTTCTCGAAGCATTTAGTGCCCAGTGGCTGCTTAATCAAACAGCAGTGTTTAGTTAAGAGTGTCGCCGCTCATACAGAAATCAGATAAAAACCTGCGCAGTTTCTGTGTACTTATTTAGACCCATTTTTCCCCCAGATTCATATAAGATCACAGTGACCTTTGAATGAATCTTAATCATTTTATCTTAAAATTTTAGTCCAAGTGTCAACTGATCAAAAGTTGAAGAAATTCTCTCAAGCAGTCTGGAGATATCACATTCAAGAGGCCATAAACTTTTTATGAGGACCTTTGAATACGAAAATCATATCAGTTAACCAGTGAGTCCTGGAGAATTGTACCAGATATAAATAAATTCCCTATGGGCAGTCTTAATTTATCACATTCACAGGCACGTGAGGTCCTTTTGTTTGACGTTTGAACTCTAAGCACCAAAATCGAATCAGTTCATCCTCAAGTCCAACTGAATATTTGTACCAAATATGAAGAAATTCCCACTGGAGGCATAATAATGGGGAGACAGTTGCTTGCCAACAGTTACTCTTTTACTATCAGCAAAAAGTTCTCAAACAACAGTGAGAAGTTATCCTCCATCATTTAGGAGCCATAGCAGTATGCTGTATACCAATGTACTGTTTATTAAAACAAGCTTAAAAGAGAGACTTTTCCAAAACAATGGCATAGACTCCCACGTCTACTTTTTGATTGCTTCTTATTAGTCATGACTCAACTAGTCAAGAACGCAGAGCGTTGCGAACATTTACTGTGAGTAACTGATCCGCCTCGTTGTTCGACAGTCAACAGAAGAAATCCCTGCTCTTACTTTTCACCATTGCTGTTCTTCATTCAGTATTTTCTGTAACAAACTGCAAAGGAGAGAATTTGCCTCCTGTTTACAGTGGTATGTGTGTGACCATTGGATGTGACCATTGAATTTCTGTAATGAAAAACAACTGAACTCAAACAGATCATCAATGAGTCAAACGCAACATGTTTCAAAATGTGATCTTGTCTTGTCATTATTAATCAGAAACTGAGAGTGCGACGACTCCTCCGGCCCTTTTTCCTCCTGCAAAACTCCTCCCTGATGAAAAAGACATTGAAGTGCATCAAGAGGACTCTGCCTGAGATTGCTAGGTATTTGAATCCATTCCACTGGCAGCCATATCTATATCCTGGTTTAAAAGATCTCTATTATCTGGGGGGAGAATGATATAATAAGCCGTGACCATGAGTTATGAACGTGTTCCTTATTAACAAGACCTGGGAACTTGGAACTTAGAAGCGTCTTGGATGAGAGATTAAACATTTAATCACACGATGAAGCCCGTATAACAGGCTTTAGTTTGACACACACTGTCTGCACTGTCTGAGGTGACTGTGGTGCAAACATTTGTAATTACTAGTCAATAAAAACATTGCACCTTATCCTTGTGCAAAAAAATTAAATTTCCAGTGCGCAGGGAGCATGACTGAGGATTTGGCATTTTGGGGAAAGGATGTGACTCGTACTCTCAGCCCTCACCAAAATAATACTAGACTGTTATGCGGTGCACACTCTCCTTTAAGGGAAGGATACGTGAAATTTAAAACAATGTCTCGTTTGTTAAGTCAATCCCTGCCGCTCCCACAGTACATCTCCATCTATCTCTGTTTCCAGATGCCCCAGGTGCATCCTGTCAACCTGGTACTAGCAGATGTGCACATTCCCTGCGCTCTGGACATTTAACTGCACTTTGCACAGGGCGCCAAGTCACACAATGATAGGGCGCAATGTTTATATTGATTATATATTATATTATGAACATTTCCACCACAGTCAGTGGCCTCAGTCAGAGTCAGTGCATTAAGTGTATTAAAATGTCTAAAATGAATAGAATTTGACCAGTGACCTGGAAAGTTTGGCAGTTCTGTTTGGTGCTGCAGATTTTTTTTTTTTTTTTTATTCATTTATAATAGATTACACCCAGTAGTCAACAGTGACATCTGACAGCAACAATGTAAGGATGCCTGATTTAGTTTAACAGTTCATTTCCACATGTGCTTCTGATGAAGTAAAAAACCAACAAATGAAAGTGTTATGACAAAGTGAAGTTTATATAAATATGGCTATAGATCTGGCTTTTTGATTACCGTAAATGTACAGAAATATATAAGGTAGAGGGAAACATTTTTAAAAGGATCATCTAATCACCAAGATTTAAAATCGCTGTGTGCTTCTCGAGCTGCAAATACAAAAGTAGAAAAATGTTTAGTTAACATTTGGGGTTGTGTTATATTCAGAAAGACTCATTTTTATTTTTAGGAACTTTCAGTATTTCATCAAAAGAAAAAATTGGATTTGGCAGGAGAGAACATTGTTTTAGAACCTGTAAATGGACTGCCTTTATACAGTTTTCTAGACTTGATGGTCACAACACTTTACTACACAAGGTACCTTCACCCATTCACCATACCTTCATACAGCTCTACTATAGGCAGCATCACCATTCCTTTTCAGAGGGCACTTTAGGATTCAGTGTTTCATTGTGCTACACAAGGACACTTGGACATGCGGACTAGATGAGCCAGGGATCAAACCACCGACCTTCTGGTTAGTGAACAACCTGCACAAAATACTGAGCCACGCCCACAGTGGCACCTCTCTGACTAAATGAAATGTATCTTAAATAAGTAGGGAACCTGGAAAGATAGATTTATACTCATCACTGGCTCCCCAGGCTTTATCACTCCTTCCTAAATGTGTGTGTGTGTCTGTGTTGTCCCTGTCTCTGCAGTGTCATCCTGTTGCTGGCACTCCACCTCTGCCTCTTTACCATGATCGGCATGCTGCTGTTTGCTAAAACTGAGGTGAGTTCATTGTAGTCATTCCATGGTAAATACACACTAATATGTTTTACACTCTTGTTCTTGTTTTCTTTGTGAGGACCATTTGAAACCTAGAATTTTGTGAGGACATTTTGGTCGGTCCTTACTTTCTGACCCACTTTCAAAGGGCTGTTTTAGGGTCAAGAGTTGCGTTTAAGGTTAGGGTTTGGCATTCAGTTGTGATGGTTGAGGTTTAGGGTAAGGGTCTGTGGGTTCTAGTTCAATCTGGAATAAAAACTCAAAAGTATCTTCGCAAAGATAATAAAAAGCAGCATATCTTTACATTTCGAGAAGCTGGAAACAAAATTTTTATATTTATTATTATGTCAGTAATATATTATATCTTGTGTAGAGCTCAGCAGGTGTCACTTACCTGTTTCTGTACAGGATCCAAAGAAGAACAAGGAGTGGGAGACGCATTTCAGAGACCTGCCACAGTCTCTTACCTCTCTGCTGGTACTTCTCACCACAGCCAACAACCCTGATGGTACACAATCAGTCATATTTGTTGATGAATGCTATTCACTTGATGATGATTGAACTGTCATTTTTTAAGTCTGATCATCTGTTCTACATTTCTATAGTGATGATTCCCGCCTACTCTCTGAACAGAGGCTACTCCATTTTCTTTGTCACCTTCAGTGTAATCGGTAAGCGGCCATTCTCAGTGTCAGTGTCAGTGCAGCAGCTGGAGGATACTTGAAGCGATAAAACATCATTGTGTGACAAATAAAGCAAAAATGTTTTAGTCAGATATTTCAAAAGTCATTTGTTTTGTGTCCTGTCAGGAACCTACTGTTTGATGAATCTACTGACAGCTATCATCTATAACCAGTTCAGGGGATATTTACTCGTGAGTCTCACACACACACACACACACACACACACACACACACACACACACACACATTTATTTCTACCCTCCCACCTGGTAAACTCCTATATCATTCAAACTAATCTCCAGTTTTGAATGCATTTAAAGCTGATAAATCTCTCCTAGATCTCCTTGAACACAATTAATTATATTCAATGAATCTACACTCACACTTTTGAATTTGGAATGAGCCATGTGGCTTAAACATCAAAATGGGAAGCATCAAGCCATTTGTGTTGGTGCACTGAAGCACCTTGCACAAGCATTGTAGAAGTATAACCAGTAGGAAGAGAGAAGGTTTTAAGTTCTCCTGGAAAGTCAACAAAGGTTTTGACCAGATTGATTGGTGATTCGTTTTAACGCTTGTGACTCTCACACATACGAGAGCTTCTTTAGCCTGAAAGAAGCGCCTGGGAGCACTTGCCCAAAAGGAGTTTGCCAGAACTCTTAAAAATAATTTTGGTTGATGTTAATAAAGATATAATAATACGTTTTATTTATAGGCACCTTTCAGAGCACTTTAAGTCACCTTACAAAACACAGATAAAAAGACAAGAAAAAACAATGTATCAAAAACATCAATCAAATGAACTATGAATAAAACATGTAGTTTAGCTAAATGGAAGAAAATCAAACCGAATATGCCAGTTTAAAAAAAAGAGTTTTCAAATGGGATTTGAAACTGGAGAGAGAGTTAATGTTCCAATGTCTGATGGGAGGAAGTTCCAGAGGTGGGAAGCAGAGCGGTTAAACGCTCTAGATCTTATGGTTGTCGAACAGGCAAGGTGATACAGTGAGGTGGGTGGAAGAAGAAGGCCTGAGGGCAGGAGGGTTTGTCAATGTGAAGGAGTTCAGAAAGGTATAGGGAGCGAGATTATGTATGCCTTAAAGGTGACGAGCAGAATCTTAAAAACAATGTTGTCATTCACCGGGATCCTGCTGAAGGACAGGAGTCATGAGATTAATGGAGGGGGTTCTGGAAGTGATGCAATTCGCAGAATTAAGGACTAATTGAAGTTTATGAAGAAATTTGTGGGGGAGTTACAGTAAAATGAATACGTTTGGTGTAATTTATTTCCTCTCGGTTTAAGGACAGTGTGCAGTGAAAACACAGATCTTGCACATTGTCACATTAGGACATCAGAGTCTCCAGCCATGGAACCATTTTGTTTCTGTTTCTGTGCAGATGTCAGTCCAAACGTCAATCAACAGGAGACGACTGGGGATCCGAGCTGCTTTCCAAGTCCTCAGCTGCCAAGGAGCCCAACAGTCCACTGAGTAATACACACACACACACACACACACACACACACACACACACACACAAACACACAAATACTACCACACATACTGTATATTAAAGTGTACAGCAAAAGGTTTACACCCAAAGTTGGAAAAAATACGAAGGTTTTCTGGAAGCTGGTGAAAGGAGAACTCAGGCAGCTTTTTTATCTTATGCAGCAGATTTGAAGGTAGACTTGAAGCATCAAGGAGACAAGAAGGTGCAACAATATACAAACAGAGTAACATGAGCAATTGTCACCCTCAAGTCTGAAGATGTCTGCCACAGCTTCCTCATATATCTCCCTCTACTTGAGTCACCCATTCTAACAGCACATCAATGAATGGTTAGAATTGCTGTCACTCTCTATGTTACATGAGGTGTTTGCATCCTATTGGATAGTTAAGTCTAAATATGTATTCCTAAACCACATTGAAGAAGTTGGTGCCTCTCTGTCTTGGGCATCTGAGTTAGATATGAAAGTCTCTAAGTGTAGACACTACAATGCACTGTTGGTTGGTCCTTTATCTATAAACTGACATTTGTGTACTGCTCAGAGAGTAAGGAGTATCATTAAGTTAGCCAGGCACTCTTCTCTTAATGGTGTACAGATATAATGTAATATACACTATACAAACATAATACAGTATATAGTGGCACATACAGTAATGTGTGAGGATATACAAACATTCCTCAACAATGTTGATTACAAAAATGGACATGACTCCAGTTATTTTCACACTATCAGATTCGAGACATCTTTACTCTATTGTTAAAACTAGATCTAGACCTGGTCGGGCTTTCCTGAAAAAACTGACATTCATACAAATTATACAACCTGAGTCTAAAAGTCTTAGAGTCTGACACACATTTGGGTGCACGTCACACTGAAGTTACAAGCCGAAAAAGTGCAAACCGCTATGTTACTACCAAGAATTTTGACCCTGTATTTACACCTGAGCTAAAGAGCCTACCATCACTATGTCCAATCATTATACAATCAGACAAGGTAAACTGTCCAATCAGACCAAACGTCAGGAGATTTACCTCTTCCCTCTTCTAAAAGACATTCATGTGATCCTGTCACAGCAGGTGACAGGCTTAATCACATTTAACCTAACGATCTCAGTGCTGCCGATGAATGAAGAACTAGATCTGAATATTTGTGTTACAATATTGTAACAGAGGTGGGTTCTCTCAACATGACACACACTAGACACAGAGTCTTCAGCTTGAGACCTAACTCTGTTCTTGCACACTATTCAATTTGCTCGGTCCTGTCTGCGCTCTCTTGCACCTTCCAGCCTGGATGACTTCACGCTAGTGTCCCAAACAGCCAAACACACATTCCCAAACCGAGTAGCTACTTCCATGCTGCAAACAAGTTGACAAATGAGCTGACAATAAATTCATGAATCCCAAAAAAATTAACTCCTGAAACATGCTCAGTGCCTTTCTCCAAGTCTTAACCCCAATATTCACAATGACCTCTTTTCTAAGATTTTTACCAAATACCCAGCAAGCAAAGCAGAAAAACACATTTTTCGCAGAGGAGAATTCCAGCCATTTAAAGCTCTGGAACCAGTTTTTTTGGAAGGCTCTTTTCTTAGTACCAAACCGATCGTGTGGGTACTTCGACAGCTGTCGACAGTGTGGTCTTGACTACCTGTCCAGGTTCTTATCTGGTTCATGCTCTCGTTATCTGCTCATTCTCCTACTCTGTCTCTCTATCGTCCTCTCTCCCTCTTTGTGCTGTCAGCCAGATGGCAAACATACCATTCAAATTATTTAAAACATGAAATGAGATAAGAAGTTGATGCAAATCTATGTCAATCTTCTGCGTTCTATTTAGATAATGGGTTACTGTGCTCAATGCAGTCAGGTAACATCATTTGACCTCACTCTCTCACCTGGTGAACCTGGCTGTTTTCTTGAAATAAATATTTGGATATCCATCTAATGAAAAACAGACATTTCTGTAGGTTTAAAAAAAAATATATAGTCATATCAAGACATGTGATATTACTTCAACTAAAATACTTAGTCACTTAAGTTGATAGCTGTTCATTGTTAAATGCAAACTGACCAACACTGTTAGCAGCTAACATTAGCCCCTAATTTATAAATATAGATTCACACCATGCAACTCTAACCAGATTTTATGAGGTTCTAACTTTCTCACCATCTGATTGTAGGTGCACTAGTTTCATTTAGAACCTCTGAGCCCCTGAAGTCCCAAAATATATATATTTTTTATCTTGTGGGAATCTTGTGCACACAAGATAGATACATTGTGCACACAAGACAAATACATTGTGCACACAAGATACACATGTTGTGCACACAAGATACACACGTTGTGCACACAGAGGCTTAACTTGCCTACACCCACCTCCAGAAATAAACCTAAAGTGACACACCTTAATAAAGTCTGTTCAAGCCGACTGAGCACCAAGAATATTTCAGCAATATTATTCTAAATACTCAAATGTTGTTTCCTTCTTATTAAATCCTTCTATCATAAATGCAACATAATTAGATAACAATATATTATACAATGGCACAGATTCATTTTTTTAATGTAAAATGAATACATTGTGCAAAATACAACACTGATTAATAGATTGTATTCGTTCACAGCAAAAGCAATATTGTGCCTTGTATATGAAATAATTGCATGTAAGTTGTACATCACACAGACATGGTTCATAGTTGTGTTGTTTGATCTGTCAGGGAGCGTGTTTGTGTTCATTCGGTGCTGGAGGTGATGTCCAGAGTCCAGATGAAAAGCTACTACAAAGCAGCCATCACTACGGTCAGAACATACACAACACAACAACATACACACTCAGAGCCTCAAATGCCTTTCGACCAGGTTAGGGTGCAATTGAAGATTATTTATAATCTCCTGGTCCTTTCACCCTTTAATCGTATCTGATGAAAGTTTCATCTGCACTTCATCTCAGGAGGCACAGCAGTATGAAGAAGCAGGCTACATGGATCGAGAGCAGTTCAGAAAGATATTTGATGAGCTGGATAGAGATCAAATCAAGGAGGTAAATTCGTGTCCTATTCATTCATCATCGTTTTATTCTTGGACATCTGTTTTAGTTCTCTGACTGTGTGTGTTTGTCTGTTTCCCCCCCAGCACCCTCCCTTGCCTCAGTACAACTCTCCAGTCCTGCAGAGGCTCCAGCTGATCTTCAGTCACTACTCACTCAATATAATTGGCAATGCAGTGGCACTGGCCAATGTCATAAGCATATGTGTAAGTTACACACACACACACACACACACACAATTGTGTCCGGATCTTCAGAGGAAATTGCATTGACTAATTTCCTGGAGAATTACTCCCTAAAGCACCTTAAAGGGATTTATGTTATGGAGACTTTTGTCCCAATAGGGAGGTAAGTCCCCATTGTTCGATAGTTTACACACATATCATTGGAGTATTTTTATATTAAAGGGTGTACATTACATCAGTAGTATAAAATGGTCTTGAAATGATGACAATAGTATTGTTTATTGCTTTAATTTCAGACAATGCAATATATTGACAGTTTACACACACACACACACTGGCAAGCATTTCCTAAGATAACCTTTGTTTGTGTTTCAGACTGTCCTTGTATTAAACTCTGAAGTTACCACAGCAGAGAGAAACAACTTCTTGTTGGAGGTGAGCATAGAGTTACCCGGAGGAAACGTTCTGTGTTAAATAAAGTCAGATTCATTGTCCTGGTCTTCTAAAGTTACTGGATCCTCAGTGGGACTATCATTTGATCAAGTGCTTTTTTGGTGTTAAATGAACATTGCAGCCTTGTTGAAACAGAAATGAACGGACTCTTCCACTCTCCAACCATCAGATTATCAACCTGTGCTTCATCCTCTACTACTTGTTTGAAATGAGTGTCAAGATCTTTGCCTACGGTTGGAGAGGATACCTCTCCTACAGGAACAACATCTTTGATGGCTGCCTTACCATCCTGCTATTGGTAAAACTGCTCTGCATTCACACTTTGTTTTGGAAAAGCATTCATTTTGTAATCATCTTACATAGTATCACAGCAAGTAGATTCCCATAGCATTATGCACAGCCATTTACTAGCTTTAATTTCATTATTGTGTAATGTGTAAAGTTTGACATATATATATATTTATACTTCTCTCCTCTCTTCTGTGTTTACATTCAATATTTCTGATGCATTTAGTTGGTAACTAATCCAATATTTGGAGGGATTCGTTTGTGTTTGTTAGATTTGCAAAAAAGGTTTATGGTGGACACATTTAAACACATTGAAAAAAGTCAAAAAGTTAGTGTGTACTCAGTTCACCTGCTACACACAACATGAGACGAGCAGAGCCAGGACACAACAATCCAGTTTCTTGATCCGACACCATCGATTGATAACTCTTCTCTCTCCAACATCTACCATCACCTTTCTGTATTGGGGACTGGCTAACAAATTTGATTCGATGTTGCTTCTGATTGACGTACCTCACCTACTTCATGGCAAATACCCTGCATTTATTAAATGTACGATTATCACTTAACTGTTGACCTAGCCAGTGAGAAGCTGTCCGTTTCAGATATGAATCGATTTTAAACAACTGTGAATTATCAGAAAGTATCTCAAGGAAGGAGCGAATGGCAGAATTAGTGAATGTTTAAATTTAAAGTTGGTTATTTAGACACAGTAGACTCAATACACCCTGTACCGCAGAATGTCCACTGACAGTGGTATCCATCTTTCATCTAAAACCATTTGATCATATTTTTGAATCTGAAGTATACTGAAGATATTATTTACAATGATCATAACATACAATATAAATATTATAGACTTAATAACGAATAATCCATTTTTAATCTCAAGTGCAAAATGAAATGTCATGTGATTTGTTGCTTTTTATCACTTTCGGTATTAAGCTTTTGTTTTTATTGTTTTCCCCATCAGTCTCTACAGATCACTATTTTTGTCACCTTCCGGATTCCTCGTGCAAAGTGGGTTTTTCAAAATAAGTGTTTGTATGTAGCTGTAGATTCTCTGTCATGCAATGATCACTTTTTTATATTGGGAATTGAGTGTGTTTATATGCATGTGTCACGACAGGGACTCGCCTTTACATGATGTAATGTCTCTGTGGGAGATGGTTCGTTTGGTCAACATGCTGATCGTCTTCCGCTTCCTGCGCATTATCCCAGATATCAAGGTACAAAGCAGACAAAGGAGCACAGTGTTCAGCTAATTCAACTTCAGCCTTTTAAACTAGAGCAGAGACAATTCATTCCAGAAATGTTTTAAACAAATGACAACAGACAAATCTGTGTACGTTGACATCAGACATATGCTGCTGGAACAACGTTCTCATTTTATCTTCGATGTGTTCCATTTTGTTCTCCAGCTCATGGCTTTGGTTGCAAGCACAGTGTTGGACCTGGTGAAAAATCTTAGAGCCTTTGCAGGGATACTGGTGGTGAGTGCCATCAGCATATTTCCTTCAACCGGCTGTTCTGCACAGTTTGTGCTTTAAAAATATACTTATCACTTTGAACACATTTTGCCTTAGACATGCTCATGCTTGAATAAATCAATGCACTTCTGGTTGTACATACAGTGTTTTCACTTGACAAGAGTGATGTGCAGGGTGGTTTACATGGAAAAGGAACAGGTCTCATGTGGGGAAAGGTTGATGTCCTCTTCATACTCTCTGTGTAGGTGGTGTACTATGTGTTTGCTGTGTTTGGGATCTGGCTGTTTGAAGGAGCCATTAAACCTCCTCCACAGATGAGGTACTGTATGAAGTCATCTGAGGAAGAACATGTGATGTCAAAACAGGATGAAACTTATGACAAAAACTTTTTATGGCCCTGCGTTGGTTTCAGCCTTGGCTAACGTCATTATACTTTTGGATTGACCATCCATCACATTTTTTTTAACACAGTTTGTCAGGAAAACTTTAATTTTGTGTGTGTGTGTTTGTGTCCCAGTGTGATCTCCAAAACCTCCATGGAGAATACCACCTCTAACTTCAGTATGGATTGCGGCACATATGAACAGCTTGAATACTGGTCAAACAACTTTGATGACTTTGCTGTGAGTAACCAGAAACAATGTGTTACTCTCCTCTTTCCCTTTCAGCAAGACCTCACTTAAAATCCACTCACTTTTATGTGTATGTTTATTTTATTTCATTTTCTATTGTGATGTTTTTTGTGAAATGTTAGGTGATGTGACTGTCAATGATATTCTACAGATACATTTGTGATGAAAACATTGTTATTATGAAATAAAACCCAGCAATGTCAGATTATCATGTTTTAATGAAGACGACTGTGGAATAAGGAGAGCATCTTCCCCTCCCTCTCTCTTAGGCATCCATCATTTTGCTGTATAATATCATGATAGTTAACAACTGGCAGGCCTTCATGGACGCATACAGTAGATACACCACAGAGTACGTACAAGTACAGTTTAAATGCATGATGATGATGAAGATGATGATGATGATGATGATGATGATGATGATGATGCTGATTATTTATTTTTCCAGTTGGTCTAAGGTCTACTTTGTGTGTTGGTGGCTCACCTCCTCCGTCATGTGGGTCAACTTGTTTGTGGCGCTCATCTTAGAGGTCAGTTCACTAGCAAGGACAACGTCCCAACTACATGTGATGTCAAGGTTTGAATGGAAATTGAAATATTTGATGTTGAGGAAAAGTGAATGGACATTAAGTGAAGTGGTTGATGACAGGGTGGAGGGAGACTCAGTGTGGGGGTTCCAGCTCAGGTATCATTCCACCGGAGCTTAATACAGGCCCTCCCGAGACAGAACGACACATGCAAGAGTTATGCATCAAACTGAATAAGAAGGGATTCGGGAGGGAGGAGCTATCATTGTGGATTTATCTTTACCCAAAAGCAGTTCCCAAGAAGCTTATTTTGTACAGTTTGATTGGCCCTATTTTATAAAAAATATATTTTTATATATATTTGTAGCAGTTTTCAAAGATTTCCATCTTGAGGAAATAATGGTCTAGGGGCTGAAAGATTGGAAAGGCAGGGAAAGCAGAGTTTAGTGGTTCTTGCTGTCAATAAGAATATGTAAGGTAAGGCGTGTCTTTTGATATACAGTAAGCTACTCATTAAACATGTAACAACCTAACTAAACTCGTTCTCGAACAGAACTTCACCTACAAGTGGGACCGGAGTCACAGCTGCTCTGTAACGGATGTTGAGAGAATCCGGTATGAAACCTCCGTCCAGCTTATATTCAAGTAGGTTGGCACTGCTGTTGCTGGAAGTTCTTCAACTAAAAAATCAACCTGTCAAGCTGTAGCTAATGTCCTCTCCAACTTTCTTCTTTTCTCCATGATTTGTCCTCTTTTCTCTGCAGGGAGCACATCCAGGAGCCAACAGAGGAGGACTTAATTTGTCAACTACACCGACATCCCCATTTACACCTACACTAGTGAGACATGCACACACACACAGCACCTGCACCAATCTGCAGTAAAGATCACTGAGAGGTCAATGTTCTATTATATGAGTTTATTGGAATGTTTATTATAGTAATATGTTACTTCTACTACTGAAACCAGTATGTTTTCATATTTTTATGAGTAATGAGTAAAGGCGGCCGTTTCTCAGCGGTAGAGCAGGTCGTCCAATAACCAGAAGGTTGGCGGTTCGATCTCAGCTCCCGCTCGCCACGACCGAGGTGCCCTTGAGCAAGGCACCACCCCCCTCCCCCCAACATCTGCTCCCCAGGCGTTGGCAACATCAGCCCACCGCTCCAGTATATGTGTGTACATGGCATCTGTCAATGTGTGTGTTTCTATGCATGTGCGTGTTTCGACAGGTGCCAACTGGATGGGTTAAATGCAGAGAACAATTTCACAATTTAAGTAAATCTTCTTCTTCTTCTTCTAAAACCTCTGTGAGCTGCAGTTTCAGTTTTGCAGGGGTCAGCCATTGTGTAGAGTCAGAGAAGCAGGAATCGGTGTGTGGAAACCATGCTCCTTGTGTGTATCACTACTCTGATATTATTTGTCATTGGTCACTCTTGTTTGGATCAAGTACCACAAGTTATGTGCCAACTACCTGAATGGCAACAGAGTATCTCTTTGTGTATACCTGTGTGAGAGAACAAATCAAAATGACACCTTCTGTATATGTCTGTTTGCCAATCTCTGACACCACTGTCTGCAACACAGTGAGGTGACAAAACTGAACCTAGATCAGTGTGAAGTGGTAGAAAGAGACTCCAGAGCAGCTTTTTATCACTGAGCAGTTGAACCATTAAAATTCAGGGGATATTGCTTGATATTTGGAGTTTTGCTTCGCAGTTGTCCAGGCACAAAAATCCAGATATATTGTCCCATCAAAGTCTGGTGAATGTGTTAGCAAAGAATATCTTGAGAATGGCTTCTTTAGAACACAATAGTTTATAGGGGGCTTGTTTACAAACACAAAAGGGATTTTATCTTAAGTCAGGAGTTACGAAGCTTCACCAGCTATTTATCCAATCAAATCTTGATCCAGAGACTTGAGCCCCTTTCATACCTACAACCTACAATTTCCCTCCATTGTGGAACAAGGAAATTTAGATTTTTTTTCAACGTGATGGATCATCCCAGCTTGTCTGGGGTGTTTGTTACTTTGCACTCCTTGAGAACAACAATGACACACATACAGAAATGCGCAAACAATTTGGATTGGAGGTTGACTGCTTCACGAAACCCACCGGCTGTTCACTCTCATTAAACCATGTTAACGAACAATGTCATATTAGCTTGTGTGGTATTAAATCCATCCCCACTTTGCTCACTTGCTATAGTTTATGCTGTTGTGCTGGATCATTATCTTGGATTTTCTTTTAGCTTTTTTAATTGGTATCTGTATGGAATGCAATAATCTGAGGAACCAGGAAGAATCTTTGACTGTAGAGTACATTGTTACTTCAAGAGGCATTTCCTGCACTCAGGGGGAATGGCCACTTTGTGTTTTTAACCACTGCCCTTCAGAGGGTCACCACAGCACATAATGAAATACCATAATCATATACATGTTCCAGATTTTTATTTTTTTTTCGGTTTATGTGAATGCAATCATAATGAAATCTAAAATATGCTCTTTATGTTTTTGTCTCACTGTGATGCACAAACACAAACACACACRTACACACACACACACACACACACACACACACACACACACACACACTCAAACTTTATTGAAATCTGATAACAGGTGTGTGTGTGGGACACCTACTGAAAATGCAACACATTTAACTGATAAAAACCAAAGCTCAGGATGGAAGTAAATTTAAGTAAATAAGTTTCATCCTCAAATGTTTTTGCATACAGTATATGTATTTTACATTATTAGTATTTCATGTCTAAAAACATGGAGCCTTTTGTTCATCAATGCAACTGCTAATATGATCGGCCAGTCTCTCAGTATAAAAAGGGATATATATATTGCTATTTATATACTTCTGATGCATTTTATTTTGGGAAAATATTTTTGTACTTTGTATTTTGAATGTATAAGAACACTGGGAAAATATATTCTGATATGTGATTTGTGGATTGTACTTTATTCTGCATTTTATCAACTGTTTGTGAAAAAAGGTTCCCCAATTTAAAATAAATATTTTACTATTTTAGTATTTATTTTTACTTGTGTGCTGTTAAATGTGTGCTGCATATAGAGGTGTGTATAACATGAAAAACAATAGGGAGGTCAAAGGTCATATAGAGCAGAAGCCTTTGAAACGGCTGTTTTTTAATTAATTAACAAATGACTGAAGTCCACACAATATCACATTAAAAAGACAAACTATGAATATAAAAATTCCAATGACAACAAAGATATGAGTTCATTATAATGTAATTGTATTCATCATCTTTCACATATTATTCACATACTATTTCTACAATATTAATTAATGCAGTATAAAAAGGGGGAAATTATGCTGCAAGGTTTGAATGTTACTTACATAAGATAATATTATTATGTGATAAGAAAAGTTTTTTAAATACAGGATTCAGTTAGTTAGAGAGGGGTTAGCAGCCCTGTTACACCTTGTCAACCTCTACCTTTGTCCAGATGGCATTGTGGAAAAAACGTTGTTCAGGATTTAGAATCCATCACAGCACAGAAACAGCACTATTAAAAGTCACTAATGACCTTTTCATGGCTTCAGATGATGGACTTGTCTCTGTCCTCGTCCTGTTAGATCTTAGTGCAGCATTTGACACCATAGATCATAACATCCTGTTACAGAGACTAGAACAACATATAGGGATCTGAGGAACAACACTATACTGGTTTAAATCATATTTATCAGATAGATTCCTCCATGCACATGCAAGTTAGTCATGGAGTTCCACAAGGTTCTGTCCTTGGACCGATACTCTTCATCTTATATATGCTCCCCTTAGGCAACATCATGAGAAAGCACCACATACACTACCATTGTTACGCAGACGACACCCAGCTGTACATTTCTCTGAAGCATAATGAATCTAATCACTTAGTTCAACTTCAGGAATGTCTCAAGAACATCAAGGCCTGGATGACCCAAAACTTCTTACTTCTAAATTCAGACACAACTGAGGTTGTTGTAATTGGCCCTAAACATCTTAGAGAATCATTCATCATTTGACCCACATATAAAACAAGTCTCTGGGACAGCGTTCTTCTTTTTTCTTGAAGTGCGTGTTGTTGACTGCAGGGGGCAACATCATCTCGTCACAACGGTAGAAGAAGAGGAAGCGGAAGTGAGAACGTGCATGCAGAGCTTGACAGTTATTTACCTGCATTTGCCTAAACTCTCCGTGGGAAATCGACATAGACGTGCAAATGGAGGGTAAGTTTAAACGCGGACGTGAAGTTAATATTTAAAGGACACGCTGATAAGGAGAGGATTCGGAGCAGTGACGTTCGATGAGGTGTAAACCACGTTCACTCCTAACTTTCGAACGAGACGTTTTAGAACCACTAGAAATGATTGAACTCAAATGAAGATGAAGCTACGAAGAGGGCGATGTGCGGGTCAAACTGTCTCTGCCAGAGAAGAGTGGTTTCTCTGGTGTGAAGAAAAACACATCAGTGCGTCACGAGCTCCGCTTCTCTCCTGTGGCCACTGGTGATCACGTCACTACTGTGTGTCTCAAACAGTTACAGAGAAATTCATACAGAACGATTTAATACATTTTCCCAGAATGTGTTTGTAATACCACAAAAAATGAAATAACTTCTTGTATGAATATAAGTACATTTTATATAGAAATGTTCAATGTACATGTCAAATAAAAATAGAAATCCTAATGTAAAAATTAAGTGTAAAAGTAATGTGAATGGAAATGATCAGTCTAATTTTGTAGGACTGGAGAAATGAATGCTAACGTGAATGTGGTAATTGAAGCCGATGCACTAATAGTTAATTGAAACAGTACAGCAAAATGTACTTTCTGTTTGGACGAGGCCCAGTAATGAGTATGGATAAAATATCGACATAAAAGTCGACAAAGCTAGAGCTGAAGTACTTTTTTTAAATTAAAAAGTCTTTATGGCCAGCTGCCACTTTTTCAGTGTCAGTGAGTTGATCAGGTTTTGTGTAGTTCACGTTTTATTTGTGTCTTAACAGAAGCGCTGGTTCGAACCCGGATTCCTAAAGACCTGGTGAAGCTACTTGCTGTTGAGGTGCACAGATTCCTCTCATTCGACACAGTGTGACATCCTGTGGAATCCAGACTTCTTGTGCAGATGAACCTCAGACAAAAGAGTGACAGCAGATTCACAGCTAAAATTTAAGATAATTGTCAATTATGAGAATTAATCTATCAAGCAGGATCTATTGATAGAATTTTCTATCAAAAGTTTAAAACAAACGTTGCAGCCTGGACATTGTTCTGTATGTTTTCCAGGTGAGATGTCAGTTCATGTAAGCTCTGTAAATGTACTTGCTGTCATTGTCTCATTTCCAGTCTCAGACCAGCTCCAAAGCGGAGGCCTTCACTCAGTCGTTCCTAAATAAAAGCATTCAGCATGATGCACGGCATGATTTGAAAGACATGTTGAGCCACAAGGCTGTGGTCCTGGGCTACTCCAGGCCCAAGAAGGACCAGTCAAAGAGGAGTAGTAAAAAAGCCAAAGGATTGAATGCTCGTCAGAAAAGGGCGATGAAGATCTTCCAGATCAAGCCTCAGAACCAGAGGTTGGTGAAGTACCTGAAGCATTTGAAACCTGTTGTGTCTCATATGTGGAAAAGTGTTGGATGATGTGCACTGTGCTCATCTAACCAGTTCTCTCCCTCCTCCTCTCCCCCCACCTTCACCATTTATATCACCATCATCAGATACGAGCTCTTCCTGCCTCTGCATGAGCTCTGGAGACACTACATTATTGACCTGTGCAGTGGATTGAAACCAACAAGGTAAATCAGTTCTGTACCCTAACATTACTTTGAAACATCTCCTCTGAAGGTTTTTCTTGAGTCTCTGAAACCTCTGTAATTTCACAGCAGTCCTCAGTTGGTGCAGCAGAAGCTTCTGAAGGCTGACTTCCATGGTGCCATCATCACAGGTGGAGTTTTACTTTTCTCTAAACTTCACATCACAGTGCATTTGATTCAATGACTTTTATTTGTATAGTGCCAAATCACAAGAAATGATTCACTGAGTTATGAAGTTTAATGATGGAGCGAATTTACTGTACTGGAAAAAACATGTTGCTAGAAATGGCTCAGGTCTAAATGAAACAATCAATATTCAACCAACGTATCCAGGGATTTTTGTTCTTTACCATAGTGTGCAGCTGTTTTACCTGCAGCAGCCGAACAACTTTTCCAGAACAACCAATCAAACACATGTTGACCAATCAGCTGTAGAGAGGATGTTGATGTCTGTGAAGAAGAGAACAGCCAGTTTTTACTGTGACCCACTGACACGCTCACAGCCAATGACAAGTGCAGTTGGTGTACACATACACCCCTGATGATCACTGCACTGTAACATTTGCGAGAGAGTTGAGTGTCGCTGCTCCCAACTGTTTATAGACCCTAATCTGGAGGTACCTCTGTGAGCATGGATGCAGCTATAACCCCATCTTTTCTTTTCACTTTCACAGTGGTCCGGTCTAAATGTCCATCATATGTGGGGACAACAGGGATTTTAGTCCAAGAGTTCAAACATGTCTTCAAAATGATCACTAAGGAGAACAGACTGAAAGGTTTGACAGCTCCGTCTCACTCAGTGAACCCCACCTTTAGCTGGCTTCCAACAACAACCAGTTCATTTCACATTCTGCTGCTCATTTGAATGATTCTGACCATGTTGTCATTTTTCTTTATTTAACTTTATTTAAAATCCCCTCACCACACCTTATACTATACAACATTATACTTTCTATAACAAGATGTTTATTTTTTCACTTGCTGTTAAACTGCACATCACGGTAAAAGGTGAAACCAGTTTGGTTCAGCTTATTCCTTTAAACATGTGTGTGAACCACCATGTAAGACTTTAGTCATAACACATAAGGATGATCAAATCTGTCTGATGGCACATTCGTACATTATAGAAACACTTTTATCTCAGCAGGCTAACACATCTGTTCTTTTGTTTCTCTCCCTCCACTTGTGCCAGTGATCCCTAAGAGGAACAGTGTTTTTGCTGTGGAGATCAACGGCTTCGTCTCACACATCTATGGGAGTAAGTTTGAGCAGCGAGCCAGTGAGCGCTCCGCCAAGAAGTTTAAAGTGAGAGGAACTCTGGACTTGTGATGGCACTGAGAGCAGGACACACTGTGCTGCAGAGACAACTCTCACTTGGACTGCACTGGACTGCTTTAATGACCATCAGAAGGAACTGCAGCAATCATAACTATCCCCCTGTTTAAAGAGGAATTCTGAAATGGGGATGTACTGAGTTTAAATTTCATGGGATTAACTTCCACAAAGATTGTCAATTTGAATTATGGGAAAAGTGGGATCCATTTTTTTTTAAGGCTACATGTGAGGATAGCTCTCTCTCTACTGTTACAATCTTAATCATTTGGAAAGTAGTGTTTTTCAAGCCTTTATGTCTGACCACAGGAAGTTATGTAGGTAATGGAAAAACACTGAGACAGGTTTGTGTTGTTTGTCAGGTTCTTATCTAAGTATGGGAATTATCTGACGGCTGCTATCTCAACATGAAATCAGATCGAGGTCTGTAGTTTCTGTGAAAATCAATCTTGTTTTTGTATAGCCCATATTCACAATCACAATTTGTCTTATAGGGCTTAACAAGCTGACATCCTCTACCCTTAACCCTCAACAAGGAATGCTTGTCTTCTTTTTTCCATTCCTACTTTTGAAAGCGTATCACACTGACTGTGTTCCTGTGCCTATTTTCAGTTACTCGCCAAATGTTTGATCAAATGTTTCTGGATTTAAAGGTTCACTGTGTAGAATTTAGTGACATCTAGAGGTGAAGTGTCATGTTGCAGCTGAATGCTCCTCACCTCACCCTCCTCTTCCCAACATGAAATAGAACTTGTGGTGAACTTCAGTTGTCATGAAAACTCAAAAGGTTTTAGTTTGTCTAGTTTGGATGACAGTAAATAACATGGTGGCCTCCACAGAGACGACCCCCCTCCATGTAAATATATTTATATATAAAGGTCTGTTCTATGGTAAAGAAAACAACAATTCATGCAATTTAGACAAAACACACCAGTGAAAACATCACTAGAATTATTTTATATTCAATGTCTGCCAAAAATCCCTTTCACCTAAATCTTACACAGTGAACCTTTGAAGTACTTTTTCAAACTSCKCAGTCCAACACCAATAGATTTGAGGAGTTTGTATTATTTTATTTAATTAGAAGTACCATTATACCATGTTTATACAAAACATTTCAAGGAAAATATTCAAAATATAGTGTTGATATCAGTATTGAAACATTCCTGTTTCAGCTTATGTTTTCTCACCATACACAGCCCTTCAGTTCAGTGATTGTTTTGAGTCCTGATACAACTGTTCCTTGAATACAAAATACCAGTGAACCAGTTGTAGTCATAGGTGCTCAGTGGTATTTTTTAGAAGTTTGCTCATAGCAAAGTGAAAGAATATGTTTTTGTTCTGCAATGTTTCTTGTGCAGCAGATGRCAAGGCAACATTTTTTGTAWCCTGACAACTGCCTGACTGCACCCTGTGTTTTTCTCTGTTGGGAAACATGCACMACTTCCTTTTTAAGAGAAAATGCATCACTGTTAATAAACAACACWTAAGCTGACGATGCCTGTCCTGCTGTCTGGKGTGCCTCACATAATTCATTTGTTGACAGAAGTTGTCCGACCTCTTAATGCCACCGTTTAGCAGGAAGCGTCTGGTTTGACTGCACACAATTGTGTCCAGAAACAATCTGGGAACTTGGTTTRATACTTACTCCTTWCTGCTGCATCACTCTGTATACAAGTACTAAATATATGTATGTTGTGTGCTCGTACTGCACAGTCCTTTAWTKAACAAGGACACATGGCTGATTAAAGATCAAAGATTTTCMTTTAAATGCACGTCTAAGTCAATATGGTGACTGAGCAGTTTAAGCTTTGGCTATGAATTATTAGCTTATTCCCATTTAGATGTGTTGCAGGAAGGCCTTATGCAAGGCTCCTCTGTATTTTGAATCATSTACGAGGGAACTGGCWCTCTATTGAGAAATGTGCTGTTGAGTGATGGGAASAAGAGTGTAGACGTGAAGGAGAAGAGATGATGCTATTTCATTTGAACATCAMTTTGACGTTTCAACATGAAACAATAGGAAAAACATGCTTCTGTTTCAGGGTCCACAAACACAGATGTTTGTATTAGAAAACAAATAAATKAYTAAATGACCAGAYAAAATCATTTCTCGCATCCAGGAAGCCTCCATCTGTAGCTACCTGCTTACCCATAGGACAGCTTCTAACAGCTGGCAGTGTTTGTAAAACATAGTGTTGACTTGCAGGAGGTTTAGTTAGAGACATAAATGAGAAAAGTTCCACARGTCAGGTGGATCTTAACATGAATCAACCCAGTGTGTTTTCATAAGGACTGTTGCTCTTATTTGTGTTGACATTAATATACAATGTCCCAGCTCCTTACAAAACCCTATGTAACCCCAATAATTCTTGAATAATAAATGAATAAACATTCATGAGCTGAAGTAGTGGGAGCAACATGCACCTTTTGAAATGACTGCAGTCAGTCAGGATGTATTGTCCTGAAGTCCCACTCAAATCACTGAGAGCCTCAATCAACAGTCTTAACTTCAGCACATAAAAATTGAATTTTAGCTGCAAGACAGCAAAGAAATTTAAATTCCCMAAAAATATTATTTTGATAGTAAAGAYATTTCCTTCTTCAGATTTACTTGCATCACTTCTCTTATTTAAAAATAGCTCARTGTTTTTCTTGACACTGAACTTACTTTGGAAAGCCTGTTTGCGTCATCAACAACTATAAATGCTTTTGCCAGGCTGCTTGTTTCWTTAGAGGGACGAGACGAGCACATGACAACATCTCACACCCACAGACRGRGAGYWGGAAAGACTCACTTGAGACAAGACAAGGACAACAACATGGTGTATGTAACATTTGATCAGGAAAACCAGGAGCGGATCCATGCTGTTGAAATTTCATTTGGACCATCAGGGAAACGGCTCTCCCAGCCAGGTCGGGTTCTGATTGGACAGGGCCAGTTGATGAAGCAGAGCCGTCGGGGGCCCCAGCCTAAAGTCTTCTTCCTTTTCAATGATGTGCTTGTGTATGGCAGCATCATCCTGAAGGGCCACTGGAACAAAAAMCAGCAGATCATCCTTCTAGGTGAGCACCTCATCCTCATTTGCTCATCACAACTCTATATTGAACAAGACAAACACAGAGTGAGATTAGTCAGTAATGGTGTCAGGGCTTGAAATGCTTTYRAAGTTMAAAGTGAAACTCGCTGCACTASAAAAAGGCAAAAAGAATATTTTAAACAAGGACAAAGCTGTCTGCAGTTTACACTTGTTACAGTTGTTTTGTTAGTGCACAGCTACAGGCAGTGACAGCTACATTGTTGAGATGACTTGAAAAAGTCTTCTCGCACAACTCRAACCCTAATAGAAGGAAGTATTATAAGTCTTACAAGAACAGACTGTCACCTCATGGTGGATGTATGTGCTTCTAATGAGACATGCTGAAATAAAAAATGGATGTCGTCTTTCCACAACAAGCTGTTTTAAAGAAGTCATGCCTGTGTGCTTGTTTACCCCATAATATGGTCCATATCTTTGGTACCTTATATTAACCTGAATTTGTTTTCATAATTTCAGAGGACATTCAGCTGGAAGACTTGGAAGATGGTGTGAACATGAAGAACCAATGGTTGATCCGTACACCACGCAAGTCATTCTTCGTGGCAGCTGCCTCATATGAGGAGAAGCGAACCTGGATAGAGCATATAGAGGACTGTCRGTTCAGACAGCWGCAGAGTGGGAACCACAGACCTGGTTCTACTTTCGCTGTCYCCTGGATCCCCGACCAAGCCACTTCCATCTGCATGCGCTGTTCCAACAAGTTCACCGTGACCCAACGCAGACACCACTGCAGAAAATGTGGCTTTGTGGTCTGCGGCTCATGCTCCAAGAAACGAGCAGTASTTAGACATATTCACCCCACTAAGCTGTTGAGGGTCTGCTGCATTTGTGACTTGAGTCCCCTGAGGACGGAGGCAGAGGCCCAGGGGATGAGTCGTCTGAGCATTGGGGAGACAGGCTTGGGTGAAGATGGGGTGGGAGAGCCCAGTGAAGAAGAGGAGGCAGAGGAGCAAGTGSAAGGCCATGGCCCAAGCAAGTGGACTGACGCTATGGACCTTTTTTTGACATGATCTCTATACCAGGAGTTTTAAAAACAATGCTGATACTGGGATGTAGCAGATGCTATGCATTCTGGCTCAGGAATGGTAATAACAATGGATTTCTTATCTTATTATTATTATTATTATTGCTTTTGTTCATACTGCTGTTTTCACATCATGCTTTACTGTTATTATTTTCTCTGATGATGTTCCCTGTCAGAGGTAGGCCTCAGTCTGCCTTGCGGTTTATTTATGCTTGATTTTATTTAAATGTATATGTTTCAGTATTTATATGAGCAATAAAGCACTTATTAACTGGATACGAAATGTCAAACATGTTATGACCTTCACTGTCACTGGATCTCAACCCAGTGAATTACCCTGAAGTGGTCCTGATTGTCCCTGGCCCTGTCAGAGTGTGTCCTTCTATGTGTGGCTCTCAATGAACCTGCTTCCCACCACCTCACCTGTGCACCACCACCATTCAGCCATCAACTCTCGTTCTGTATACCTGGCTCACTCAACCATATCAATCATTCAGTCACCTTCAGTGCTTCACTCTCTGTCTGAGTCTTGTTTGCTGCTTCAGATCACTGTTGTCTCAGACTTCATCAGACAGCACTGACAAAGGTGACAGTTTCATGGGTTCTTTCAGTATTTCAGTGCTTTCCAACTAAAAGAGAGATTTCTGCAGTTATACTGAAGACCCCTTTCCTTTAAGTGCACTGTGTGTTAAGCTAAGGACAGTTCAGTACAATGCAGCTTGATATTATATGTGAAAGAAAGTGAGATATTGGTATTGAATACCCAAAGCAATATTAACTATCCCACTGTCTAAAGAGGAATTCTAAAATGGGGATGTACTGAGTTTAAATTTCATGGGATTAACTTCCAAAAAGATTGTCAGTTTGCATTATGGGAAAAGTGGGATCCATTTTTTTGAAGACTACACATCAGGATAGCTCTGCCTCTACTGTTTCAATCATAATGAAAAGTAATGTTTTGCAAGCCTTTATGTCTGACCACAGGAAGTTATGTAGGTAATGGAAAAAACATTGAGACAGGTTTGTGTTGTTTGTCAGGTTCTTATCTAAGTATGGGAATTATCTGATGGCTGCTATCTCAACACGAAATCAGATCTAGGTCTGTAGTTTCTGTGAGAATCAATCAATCAATTTGTTTTTGTATAGCCCATATTCACAGTCACAATTTGTTTTATAGGGCTTAACAAACTGTGACATCCTCTGCCCTTAAACCTCAACAACAATTCATGCAATTTAGACAATACACACCAGTGAAAACATCACTAGGATTATTTTATATTCAATGTCTGCCAAAAATCCCTTTCACCTAAATCTTACACACTGAACCTTTGAAGTACTTTTTCAAACTGCTCAGTCCAACACCAATAGATTTGAGGAGTTTGTATTATTTTATTTAATTAGAAGTACCATTATACCATGTTTATACAAAACATTTCAAGGAAAATANACCCAGTGAATTACCCTGAAGTGGTCCTGATTGTCCCTGGCCCTGTCAGAGTGTGTCCTTCTATGTGTGGCTCTCAATGAACCTGCTTCCCACCATCTCACCTGTGCACCACCACCATTCAGCCATCAACTCTCGACAACACAGCTTGATATTATACCTGAAAGAAAGTGAGATATTGGTAATGAATACCCAAACCTATGTCAACTGACATAATTCTCAGCTTGGTAGAGCTTTAATTATTTTCCCCCGTCCTGACAGAAAAAGTCTACCCATATTAGGACATTATTTTTGACTCTGAAGGTTTCAAATCATATTTGCCCTCTTGTTTGTTGGAGTGTGGAATTCAGAGCTGGTAGTGGCAGCCCATACAGTATTGCATCACATGGTTGAACAGGGGCTTTAACACAGACAGGAAAAGCAGTATCAATGAGCCAAGGCTTTGACAATGGTATCAAATGTGTTTGGCTTACCTGCTTTCAGGAGGGTGGCTACGTGGACTGAGGAATGTTGAAATGTTCTGCCAGAGAATATTTACAAGTACATGTAGTACAGAGTGACCTGAAAAGAGGGGAACAAACAAAAAACAGACAGTGATAAGGCAGCCTGGTTTATATAATGCTGCAGGTCAGGTGCTGTGATCTGGCTTAAAAACATACTGTTCTCTCCACTTTATGGGGGCTTGCCTTTTCATACAAAGAGCATCTATGCATAACGCATAGCCTACACGTTTTGTACTCATGAAATCCGTGATTTCAAAGCCTTGTCCAGCTGTTTACTGAAGTTTGTCATGTTTAATGAAGAGAGAGGGGGAGAGAGATACAGACAGCTGCAGCAGACAGACAGACAGAGAATTTAAACACAGTTTTACTGTTTTACAAATTAGGAGTCTCTGTGGGGAAGAAAGACTCTCTGACCTTCTCCTCCTGCCATTGAGCAAGACATACAAATAAACCAGAGTGAGGTCATACAATCTTCCAAGAGATGGCACCAAGGAGGATGCTCCCGTGAAGTAGCTGAACAATCCTGCTCCCTTCACCTCCTTTGTAAATAGTTGTATTTTATAGAATATATTGGATGCTTTATTTTTATTTCATTTATTCAGAGCAGTAAGTTTTAAGTTAGAATATTTTTATGATTATTTGTTGCCTGTTATTCATTTATTTATTCAGTTTGATCATGTGAGTTACTCTATTTGATCAGACTGTGTTGATTGTGTTAACAAAAATAAATATATAAGTTAAATATATCGAGCACCTGCCCCCCAAATTGTCTGTGCACGTGCCTGGCTGATCTGCTCCTCCGGTTTGCGGACTTCGGTCGCTGCGCCACTGGCCGCAGCTACGGTAGTGAAGTGTTGTTGCACAGCAGCGCCCTCTGCTGTGTGGAGGAGACTTGACTGCAGTGACAGCAGGCATCATGACGGGCTGGACTGTCAGCGGCGCTGCTCACTGGACACCTCTGTCATTGTGGTTTTCAGGCAGGATGACTCTTTGGTTGCTTTTTGTTCTGTTCTCTGCTGGGACCAGTCCGTCAGCGGCCACAGGACAGAGGCGTGTTTACACAAACCACTGGGCGGTGCGGATCTTAAGCGGCCCCGAGCAGGCTGATCGAGTGGCAGCAAAGTATGGATTTATCAACCTGGGAAAGGTAACCACACGGTTCACTTGCACTGATGAGGTGGCTGTTGACATGTATGAAGTACTATGAAGGAACGGTCACTGTTTGTCCCCTGATCTCACCACTGAGACACAGTTTTTACAGAAGCTTTCCAATTGACTTTATGACATGCTGCAAAAAACAGTCAAGTTAATATTCTTTATCCCGTTTGAAAAAATGATTCACTTCAAAATTCAAAATGCCGTCAACATTTTCTTTCTTATTCTTGCTACAAGCCATTTAGTTTTTGTTACACGAGGTCTTTTTGATCGTTTATAATTATATAATATTATTCAAGCTTGATATAAAAGACATATAAGCTACCAGTACTAATAGAAAAGATCCCTCTTGCATGTTTTTTTGCATTAAGCATGACAAGTGATACATCCTTGTAGATTTTTTTTTATCACTGATGGACCTGAATTCACGAACTCAACCTGTTAACAATTTATTAACTTCCACATCTCTGGACTTGGTGGCTCATTAGAAAGTGTGGAATCCAAAGTCATTTTTAAAGATAGGCTACTCCTAACGTTATTAGCTGCTTCTTAGGACGAAAAACAGCTTGTAAAAGAGTGGCTCAGCTATATGGGTAGTTAAATGTTAAATATTTTACATTATCATTTTAATATTCCTGATGTTCTAGTCTTATGTTTGAACAGATAGGAAGTCTGGAGGATCATTACCATTTCCACCACAGGAGAGTTTTTCGCAGAGCTGCACACTCTTTGAAGGGCCCCCACAGCTTCGTCCATATGGATCCCAAGGTGAGTCTCAGATCAATCAATCAATCGATCAAATTGTATTTTTATAGTCCATATTCACAAATCTTAATTTCTCTCATGGGGCTTAACAAGCTGTGACATCCTCTGCCCTTAACTCTCAACAAGAGTAAGGGAAAAAAGCCTTTTAACAGGGGAACAAGAACATAGAAACCTCAGAGAGAGCCACATGTGAGGGATCCCTCTCCCAGGACGTGACTGAGAACATCAGCATAATAAAAATAATAATAAAAAGGTTTATTCATATATCACTTTTTAAAAACAGAGTTACAAACAGACAGTTTGTTTTATAAAGATTTTTCAGTATTGGATGCACACAGTATCATTCCAGTATCCCTACAAAGATGAAACCCATGTAGCAAGTCTGGGACACAACACAAAATCACTCTGATGCCACAGCTTTCTTTGGATCTCTTTTACTGAATGAATCTGGAATGATAAAACATGTGACAGACACTGCATCAGTTCACATCCTCTTCTCAGACTACATGCATGACACTTCATAAACCTACCTGTCTCCTTCGGCCCCGAATGCAGACAGAGAGAGAGGTTCCAGAGCGAACATACCACAGCACAAAAGGAGGTTCACAGACCAGAAAGTTATACAAAGTCTGACTTTTTTACACTTGTAACTTCTTCCCATTTCAATAGGTGGATTGGGCCCAGCAGCAGGTAGTAAAACCAAGAGTTAAGAGGCATGCCCATAGTGACCCTAACCTCATTCATTTCAATGACCCTAAATGGTCCAACATGTGGTACATCGTAAGTATAGTACACTGAATCTTTCATGCTAACATTTCGAATGAATCAAGGTAAGGCAATTGTTGCTTGTCGTCTGTGACTTTTTTCAGCACTGCAATGATAAGAGCAGCTACTGTCGGTCAGAGATGAACATTGTATCCGCCTGGCAGAGAGGCTACACCGGCAAAAACGTGGTGGTCACCATACTGGATGATGGCATTGAGAGAAACCACCCTGATCTGGCTCCAAACTATGTATGTTATCTATCAAAAAAATCTCCAAGCTTCGATGGATACGTTCAGGACGATATACTGGTGAGTGATTTTGTCTGTCTCACCTATTTGTCGCTATTTCCTCTGT